CCATTTCTGAAGGAGGCTTCACGTTGTCAAGGAAACTGACAGGATTGCTGTCCAGGTGCTCAGAGCTGCCTTGGTTCATCGAGTTGCTGAGAGCTCGTTTTACCATCAAGGCAACAGGAAGCGACTTCTTCCGACTCTTTTGTGATTTCTTTGAAACTTGAGAAGTCTCGTCCCAGTGTCCGGAGGCGCTGAGTGAAAGCAAACTGCCGAGGTTTGACGGCGGCTTGACATTGTCAAGGTCGAGGGATGTGAGTGACGTCACACTGGCCTCCATACCATAGTGAGAGCTCTTCAGTTGCGCGGCCAGTCTCGCTGCTTCCTTCTCTATAGCAGCGGATATAATGAAGTCGAACTTTTGTTCCCCGTCGTCCACAAGCGACGTGAAGCTCGGCTCTGGTATACTGTCCAACATCAGTCGCTCAGCTTCCAGTTTACTGTCCATCATCATAACTAGTGGAGACTGTGGAATGTCTCTGTCTACTTCCAGCTTGTTGGTTAAATCTGGACGCGAGAACGACATCGTGGGAGCTTCACTTTTCTCCAGTAAATCTGGTAGCGTCAAGTTGTGGTCGGCGACTTCACTGCGGATTGATGAGACCATGTGGACCGAGCCACTGATAGTGGGGAATGTGACGTCATCGGGGCACGTGTTGTCGTTCCAGGTGTCAGTGCTGCGCCTGGACACATCTTCAATGTTCGCAGGGAGCTCCTCCAGGGGCTTCACGTCCGTGCACTTGATGTCGGTCCACTCCAGCTTGTTCCGGTTCTTGCTGTGCCGGGTGAGGGTGCCGCCGTCGCCGACGTCTGGCGCGCGCTCGCCGTCGCTCCAGGAGCCGTCCAGCACGTCCGCGTAGGACTCGTTGGAGCGGTCCAGGTCGTCCGGGCGCTCGGGCTCGTCGTCAAGCGTGCAGTCCGCGGAGCGCGGCGCCAGGCACTCGTTGGACGCGTCACAGCCACGCGCGCGGGGGGCCGGCCCGCCTGCGGGCGCGCGGGCCGCAGGGGGCGGGGACACGTTTTTTGGCGCCGGACGACGCGCCCCCCGCGCGCCCCGCGCTATGACCTCCTCTAGCAGCGCGCGCGCCGCACCCATGCGGGCCAGGGCGCCGCCCCCAGCGCTGGTGGCGGCGCCCCCCCTGCGACGGCGCGCCTCGAGCCTGTCGTCGCTGCGGCCGCGGCGGCGCGGCGGTGCGCGCGCCATGCCGATGCGCACGCTGCGCTCGAAGACCTCGCGGTCGGTGGAGCCGAAGGAGTCGTTGCTGAGCGAGGACAGCGACGTGCTGCGCTCGAGGCGCGGCGAGGCGTGCGCGGAGCGCGGGGGCGCGGGGCGGCGGCGGCGGGGGCGCGAGGCGCGGGGCGCGGGGGCGGGGGCGAGGTCACGTCGCGCGGCGGCCTCGGCGGAGTGCGCGCGCACTCGGTCGTCGGCGTGTCGCGCGCGCGGGGTGACGCTGGACAGGCCGGCCTGCACGGTCTCCTCGAAGATCTCCCTGTCGGTGGACCCGAAGGAGTCGAGACTCAGCGAGGACAGCGAGTCGTTCCGAGCGAGCTCTGCAGTGCCTGCGGGACGCGGTCGCTCTCTTCCGTTACCTGCAGCTTTCACTGGAAGACGACTTTCGTACTTGCGACCTAAAATATTGATCATTTGTTAATTCATAAAAACATGAGAACCACTTCATACAACAAAAATATTTAGTTAGAGAATATATATAGCGTACATACCATCTTCTAGTGCAGGAGGTCGGGGTGGTGCGGCCAACTGCGTCACCTTGGGTGGCAGTGGGGGCGGGGGACTGCCTGAACTGCACGATGCACTGAGACATACAACATGTAGTTAGTATATGACAAGACAGTTATAAAAATAATACAGTATAATTTTATAAGAGCTCACCTATCATGAACTGTTCTAGCAAACTCATGTGACATCCTAACTGTCTCCGTGGATGACCGCAAGTATGGCGGCAATGACCTCTGAAAACATAAAGGGCATCATTTAAACATAATGTATTATAGTTAGCTTGTTCCAATACAATCATCATCATGCGAAACTTACATAAACATCGTCCCTGTAAGGATTGATAGAGGATACTTCTGATGACGGGCCCTTATTCTTCACCACCTGCGAACAAACATTTGAAATTAAGAAATTTAATATTACAGGTTATTTCGTATGTCGCGCGATGCTGTTTATGATTATGGACCCCAAGCGTGGCTTGAAACTAGTTGAGATTCGTAGTCAAACAGTTACGTGGGTAAGCTGTAATATTGTACAACACGTACCTTAGCGATGCCCTTCTGTATACACTCCTCCAGTAAATCTCCAGCGTCGCTTAAGTTGGAGCTGTCGGAGGTGTCGTGAGCGTCGTGTATGTCGTGAGTGGGCGGGGCGGGGGCGGAGTCAATGGACAACGCTGATAGGTTGGAGTTACTGCCCGCTTTAGACAAGATGGCGGGCGTGTCTTCAGTGAAGTATACTTTGCACACCTCGCCTGGAGTTTGAGTGCCTGGAATAAGAAAGTTTCAAAATTATTAGATTTTATGAGTAAGCGATCTTCTGACCTTTATTGGTAGTGTTCTGTACTTACTATAACCATGGGATAAAAACGTGAGTTTATGTTTTAAATATTTACCTTTCATTGGCTCGTTTAACACGTGGTTCGACGACGGCAGTGATCTCAGTTCGTCTCTGTAACAAAAAAATATGATTTGAATGGTTATTCATTTGTAGTAAAGTATTAGAAAATGATTTTCATGTAAATTGTAAATATGTACCTATTTCTGTTGTCTTCGGGATTATTGCTAGCTGAGCAGTCGAGGTCTTCTTGATCGGTAACTCTTGGTAACAATTTTAGAGATTGCTGGAAGAAAAGAAAACAATTCATACAATATTTTAAACACTTTTTAGTTTTGGAATTTCAATTTTTTTTTGGTTTGACGACGACGCTGATGATGATTATATTTAAGAATGGAGACAAACCTTCGGCAGTTTAGGCTCATCATCGATGGTCAGGCTGCTGAGGCTGGTGGCTGCGGAGAACTGCGCTGGAGTATGTTCCACGAGGAATCGGGAGACACGCTCTTCGAATACCGATCCCACGCATGCTGGTTCTAAAGAATAAATCGCCGATTTCAAATAAAAGTACCAGTAACATCATATAATTAATTTCTCAAACTTTGGGAAATTTTTTGTTACTGTCAACTTTTCTTGTTGTTCAAAATGTATTGATTAGTTTGGAATAGAACATGCTGTCGCGAGACCAAAAACAGCAGCTGTAGCCAAATGCCATTTAGCGCTTGTCTACATGTAGAATAGAAAACCAAATTATATGGAATTGACGTAATTTTATTTATTTAAAAAAGACTATTACACAATAGGCTCACCCCCTATTACATGGGACTCATAACATAAATAGTGAAAAGTGGGTGTTACATTGTACAGTGGCATAATGTGCACCTCTGCCTACCCCTTCGAGGATAAAAGGCGTGATGTTATGTTATGTATGTGACGTAATTTAGACAATTGTCAGTGTCATCCCCATACATTTAGTTTTCTAGTCTCTCTGTAGACAAGCGCTAAAGTGGCGTTTGGCTGAAGGCACTGTCCTTTTATTTTACTTGCAACACAATACATATTGTCACTGATTTTAGACAAATTATTTTCAGACGGTCTTTTAGGGACTTGAAATAATTATCTAACCTTGTGGTGGCGTGGAGAGTGCAGTTAACAACTCCTGCGTGGGTGCAGCCCTGGTCCGCGGGGACAGAGGCACGCTGGCGCCGGGGGAGTCTGGGATCTCACTCGGAGATATACAGCCTGAGGTGAGTCGGCTGGAACAGTACAAGTACACAGGATATAAATAATATAACAGATGTTTCATGTGGAAGATTCATGTTTTGGTAAGAAAAAATATTTGTGTGAAAACTCCTTTGTGTGTTGTATATGTTTATGGGAAGCGTCGATTGCTTACGATGGTAAGCAGTTCATCTGATGAGATGACCTGTTTATTGGTGTTCCGCCCTATTCAATAAAAATGGAAGATTTTTAAAGCAATTTCCTCACCTAATTTCCGACACGACAGATCCTTGGTCGTCTTGCTGCGAGCACTCCGGCAGTGAGCCGAGCGAGCTGGACCGGGAGAACATCAGCGGCGTGTCCTCTACGAACCGCTGCGGGGGCGGCGTGGCCCGCGCTGATACTGGCTCCGAACCACACACCGATACTGGCTCCGTCGCAAACGTCACTGCTTTGGAACCTAGAGATTCACAAAGGGTCAGAAACTGAAGCATTTCTACAGGACGTTGTGAAGATCAGAAGAATAAAGCATTGGATCAAGAGAAAGTTCAGAAGCAGGTGATATTTATGAATGACTAATGTTATTCCTCTGACGTCACTAATTTAATTTGACATGATGATTAATGATTACCTTCTTTGTCCTTGGCAGAACTGCTCGTGCTCTGTTCTGGAGGGCTCGGCTCCACGTTTATTGTGGCCATTGCGTTTTTCTTAGCCAGACTGTCTTCTTCGGTTGGCTCACCAAGACTGCTCAAAGAGCTTACTCTTGAGAAGTAGCCTGGTGTTCCCTCGTCACAGTAGTTCACTGGCTTCTCAGGGCTTATCATTCCAGAGCTAAACTTGGTATCGAATAGTCCTTGCTTCTCCGGGATAGGTTCTGGAACGGATGCAGCTTGAGGTGTCGATGCTGCCCTGTCGTTGTCGTGGTTCGGAGGATCTTCGATAGAACAAGTGTCCTTTTCATCTGAATGCGTCATCGCCTCAGGGTTTGGTTTAGCCGTTGCAGCACTTTTCTTGTGGTCCTTACCGATCACTCTAAGATCCGACATTGAGGTGGCGGTAGAAAATATCGCCGGTGTTTCATAAGGAGTGCCTTCTGTAGCGAAGTGTTTAATAGTGTCTTCGTGAACCGAAGGACCAGCTGGTTCCGACATGTCCGACCCAGTCTCCGATTGGTGTTCAGCGTAACGTAGCGAATAGTCAGTCGGCTGGTCTAAATCAGTCTCTTGATAATCACCATACGTGCTGTTTGCGCTTTCTTTCTTTGAATACTTCTTGTTATCAGTCTTTGGTTTGTCTCCTCAGATTCAGTATTCTTCGTCTCCGAGTATTTCCTACTGTAGTCAATTGGTTGGTCACAAGAATCCTGGTCGACGTCAAAACCGGATTCTGTGTAGTTTGTTCTCATTTCAGTAGTACTTCTTGGCGGAGGAATTGGAGGCTGTGTGGGATATCGAAGGAAAGAACTGTCTTTGTGTTGCTTCGAAGACGCTTTAAACGATTCACCAGAGTTTTCACTCTTCATTAGGTCTTTGTTCCTAGGTGTCGGTACGGGTACTTTCCCAGTGCGCATGACTCGCTCAAACACTGAGTCTGAGTGAGTGCTGGTGACGCTGTCCTTGCTTTCTGATCTGTTGACGTTGCCAGCACTGCCTGTATTTGAACGAGTGACTAGTGCTCCCTTCAGCAAAGTGTTACTGCAGCTCAAGTAGCTGGCTAGGTGTGCGCTATGACTCAAGGATATCTGAGACGTCAATGTCCCCATGAGAGGTGAACTGGAAGTCATTCTGTGTCGTTCCAAATTCATAGCTATTTGTCTTTCCGTGGCTGTAAATAGATTCTTCTCTTCTCTGTTACTGGTTGTAGGAGACGTAGCTGGTTCGATGTTGTCGCAAGTTTCGGCCAAGTTTTGATCCAACTCTTGCTCCAAAGCTTTTTGTTTCCTGGCACCTAATGTTGGTAGCGCCGGTAAATTCATGTTTCTAGCTGTTGTGTCTAGTGAGATGATGTGCGTTTTACCCGGTTTGGAATTGAGCAAGTTTTTGAGGGCTGCGCTGGAGCCCATCGCTATCATTTTATGCTTAGAGTGAATGAGACTTCTGAGCATGGGTACCGCACCATGGTCCCACAGGAACTGTTGATCTTGCGGGCACCTGGCAGACAGGTTCCACAGCGTGCCGCACGAGTTGCTGACGACTGTTAGACTCGGAGACTTGAGGTGCTGCAACAAGACACTTAAACAATTTCTCTCCCGGAGAATTTGTCTGTAATCTTCGCGTACAGCGATGTGACTCGACACGTTCCTCATGATGCCACCTGCATTCTCAACTATCGCCAGTGTTTTTGTAGGCGAATTGTAACTAAGCATATCAACGAGGAAGCCCAGTGCTCCTTCAACGGAACATAAGGCTACTTTGTTCATTGAGCAGTGAGCTGTCAGGTTCCAGAGGGCCGAGAGTACAGATTTTAGAGTGGCCTCCTTTTGACACGTCATTGCAGCTTTAGTGAGGCCTTTAACAGCTCCTACTTCTCTTAATACTTGTTTGCTGTTGGTATCCGCTCTCCAAGAGAGATTTCGCAGCACTGCTGCTGTTACCTGTAAAAGTAGTTAAAACATCATTAAATATAGGAACAATAAGGATAATTAATAAATTAGTAAAAAGTCGAATAACAAAGTAAGTACCTGTCGCATATCGTCGTTGGGTGATTCCAATTGTTCGACCAGAGCTAACATGAAGTCTTTGAATGAACACAACAAGGACTTGTTGTTTCCGTCTCCGAAGGTGAGGTTCGTTAAGGTCATCCCAGCGTATTTCCTCATGGTCAAACATGTGTTGTCATCTGTTCTGCTTCCGTGTGCCGCCTGGTCCCCACTGACTAATGCAGCCAGCGCCTGCAGCCCTCCTAACTGACACACCACATGCCTGTGCTCCTCATCAAATGACAATTTCATGAGGGCTGCGACGCTCTGACTTGGATGCTTGGTAACATCATCTTCAATGACTTCTTTTCCTTCTTTTCTCATTTCTACGAGATCTTCTAAAACATAGCAGTATTCCCGGACTTGTTCTAACAATCTCCAGACTCTAGCTTCTCTTCTGCCTGCTTTGTCGTCAGTCTGCGTGTGGATTATGTTACGAAGCGCTTTCGCTGCGCGGTCTCGCGTCTCTCTAGGGACCTTCGAATGTATTAACTGAACTAGTAGCGGAATGCATCCGGCTTGTCTCATTGCGATGCAACTTTCAACTGATCGGCTCATTTCCAGTAAGGGGCCGCTCAAGTCTGCGTTGTTTTCTGGTGATAAGCTTAAAAGAGAAATCAACGAACAAACGCATTCCATCTTATTTTCTAAATTAGACGAAGGTCTCGTTCCTTCGGCGGAACCGTTACTAGAGAAACTGCGAACGCTTGCGGAGTCATGACCTGTCCAGACATCGCGTTCTCCTGGCCAGGTCCCTCGGTAGAGTTGGGAAGCTCTTTTGTCTCGTTCACTCGATCTAGCCGCACTTTCTAACCCATAATGTAGAGTGCTTCGGTAACTCGTTCTGTGCGGCCGATCTTCTGAACTAGAGTATGTGGATGGCTGGTTTTTCTGTGGTCGTTTTGGCAGAGCTCCAGCCTTCTTTTGTGCATTTTCATCGCCATCAACTTCATCATCGAGAAAGTTTGGGTTTGTAATATCACTGCGTTCGTCGAATTCATCAGGCGATGGTGAGTGATCGAGGAAATGTGGCTTAGGGATACGGCATTCGATGTTAGACTTGGACGGCGGTTGATAATCTTCGTCAAGAAAATGTGGCCGGCGTGAGAGGAGGTCAGGCTCTAAGGTCTCTAGCTCAAGGGTAAGGTCTCGCGAACGCGCCTTGTCAGATGCCTTTTGGGGAATGTGTTTGGGGACAATTTTGGTTTTGGTGTCTTTTGGATCGGGTAAGCGGCGCGAGTCAGGCGATAGAGGGGAAGTCGCGTCTAGAGGCCCGCGAGGGGGTTCACTTGAAGTGGAAGGGGTGCAGTCTTCACTTGCCGATGGTCCGGAGTCAGTTAACGGTGAATTCGAGGAGTCCATGCTGCTCCAAGGATCTACCATCACTTCGTTCTCCAACTGAAACAAATTGAAAAGTGCATTCTTAATTGAAAGTCGTTTAAGGGCAAATAGGTCAAGGTTAAGGACTCCTAGTGGTGAGGTAATCAGCTAAGACGAATGGTGCCCAAAATGAGCAGAACACTTAAATTACTCGTATGGTCAAGGCTAGTGGGTTGCAGCGTAACCGTGGCGTACTTAAAATTGTATTTATTTGTGGACGGGTTAAAATACCGGTTAGCCTGGCTCGAAAAAATGAGCGCGTGTGTATAGGGCGAGACTTTACATGCGATATTATCCTTAATTACCAGAGTGACTAGGCAGGAACGATATTGTGTGAAGTTATTAAATGAACCTTCATATTAAGCGTTACAGTTACTACATTAACAGTCCACAAGGTGAGTTATAACGGAGTCGGAATACGTAATGTGATGCGTTTCAATAATGTGCAGTTAACGGAAAAATGAATAATTGACTAGAAGGAAAATATACTCACTTACATCTATTTCAGATGGAAAGATATGTAATTCTTAATTAAGGTCTACGAATAGGGGACCGCATTGTGTTTGTGTGTCACGTAGTCGTATAGACACCCGTATGGGGCTTATGCGTATAACATTACAATGAGTCACAGTATGCGGTGTGATAGTTACCGACTTACTGCTTACGTCATATTGTCATAACTCATAACAACCCGGTCCCACTGGATCGTTAGTTACATCAAAGTAAGATGTAACTAAATGTGTGTAAATAATTGAATCGGGTCAGTTTAATGGGAATATGACAGGATTGAAATGTAACACATTAGTGTATGAATTTAGAACACGCCACTGAGCATCGTAAAACCACTGAACTATCTGTTTAACTACATTGGATATAATAATGAACAAATCTTCTACTGAATTCTGTTCTCAAACTATTCTATCACTTTTTATAAGGTAAACCGCAAATAAAACTTCCAATTTTGTATATAATCGCTTAAATGTCCGTTTCCAACTTTGATTCAGCTTGACTAATGTCTTTGACCCCCCAAAATGTCTTTTCCTTCTGTGTCCAAATCTAGTGATTGTGTCATAGAGCATTGTCTCAAGTTACTGCTCCCGATGGCCGGTCGCCGGACAATGGCTAGACGAGGTGCTGCCGTCCGGTCCGCTACAATGGCTGGCGCCTGCCATCACTAATTGTACTTTGTAGCGTTCGATCGGACGCGCGTCGCACCGGACGACACAGATTTGCATGACACAGGAATTTGCTGGTTTATTTTATTTATAAATCACATTGTTTTTATTAAGGCACCACACAATACACATATGAATTCACTATAATGGACAAATGTAGTAAAACATTTAAGTTATAATTCTGAATGTAAATAAAACATATCAAAAGTAAGTATCGGCCGGAGCTGTAGCCAATTTTAAAATTAAACCCATTTAACACTGAAGCCAAGCGTGATAAAAGTAACGAGTTGTAAGAGAAACTTCACGCTTAACGATTTAAAGCAAATGGAGTGCTTCCATAAATTGATACACATGTTTGAATAACATTTCATCAAGCTACAAAACTGAACTGAATATATGACTAAGACGAGACGACTCCTAAATTTACTTACCAGGTCGCTATCGTTAGAAGCTGATACATCTTCTAGAGGGTTCCCATTTTCCATATCGACCCCAGAGTCGTTAGGGTCTCCCCTCCTCCTCATCATCATATCAGTCCTGGTGATATCGTGGTAGTTCCGCCTGAGCGGGTTGAAGGCCATACGAAGGTCAGTGGTGAAGTCATCGTATAGTTTGAACTGGTTAGCGTTGAACTCCGTGTCGTTATCGAGGACATCATGGTCCAAGGAGATCCTGGAGCGATCAGCTCCTTTGTTCATATAAGACACTTTGTAATAGTCCCGCGAACTCATTTTGATCAGCACTTGGTTTTATAGTTTATTTCATAATGTTAAAAGCTCCTAAAAGGTTTCGAAATAAGAGTGTGTGGTGGTGTCGGTGGCCGAAAATACGCTGTATTGGATACCACCGCGTGTTGTAAGTAGTTTTATAGGTTTGCACGCAGAATATAGCACTTATAAATCATAGTAGCGAACACTAAATCCCATTATAAAAGCGTTGCCCTCGAATAAGCAAAACAGCAGTGTATCGTTCCAGATTGAGCACGAAATAGGTCAGCTGTATGGCGAATTTAGAAGGGCTCTCATGGGAGTACAAGTTTAAATTTTATTATAGTAGTCAGTAATTTTACCGCTGTTTTATTTGGACGAGAGCCAGAGTTTACATAGATATTGTGACGATCATGTTTAGTACACAGAGTTATCGTTCGGTGTTTTTCACACATCCTCCTAAAATAAACTTGTGAATGAACATTTTATGTATTAACATAGAAAGTGGAGAAAATTGTAACGATCGTTTAATTGGGTCACGGTGAGATTAATTAGGAACATTGTGATTTAAGTTGCGTACATTGTATAACAACGTATCGGAACATTCATGTTGGTATATTTTGGCACAGTTAGGAAGTACACACCGCTCGTAAATGTCTTGTGGAAATAGCGCTATCTGTTTATATTGGACTCCGTCAAGGTTCCACAGAATATACATTACATAAAATAAACGAGACATGTGTCCAAAATTTTCTTTTCTTGTAGGAACTGTATGATAATAACTTATGCTGTGTCAAAATATTAGTTTGCCGATATGATCTTAGCAAGACCGGACTCTCTATGCGAGTCTACGTTAAAGTATCTATTTTAGTCTCAAAGTAATAAATATTCTAATATAATGTTTCCTTTACACAAGGATAAAGTGAAATACAAAATAATAGTCATGGAGTTGTTTTAGATACTGTGTGTAATATAAACAATAAACTCGTTTCCTGTGTTGATTTAAACAACAATAATAAAACTAAACGTATGGTATACAGATACCGAGAAGACAGGTTAGATAAAAATGTCTTATTTAGTTTCAGGTATAGATATTATTACATGCATATTTTAAAAGAAACATGTGCTATATTGAAATTAAGAAGTTCAGGTTCATCAAGAAACTGGTACAAGAATTTAAGATATTTTTTTTATTTTTTTTTTATTTCTATTTATTTATTTTGGGGTTTTTATCCACATGGATATGCCAACCCCATCGTACCCTCTTAGTTTTAATTACACTACCTTAAGTAATAATATAAATAAATAAATTTATCGAGAGAGAATTATCAATCGGGTATTTTTGCTAATCTACTTAATTTTACTGCTAACTTAGATTTAGGACTTGCCAAAATTGTCAGTACTAACCCAACATCTAAAACATTTAGTTTAAACTCTTCAATTAATGATTCTCTTTCATTCTTGTTTCTGATACATTCCATCAGCAAGTGAAGTATATCTTCAATTTATAAACAATAAGCAAAATAAACAATAAGGTGATGCGACTTTTCCCATAAGATATCCAATTTAAGATATAAATCGCCCAACGTTGGAATAAATTCCAAGGCCTAGTGTAAGGCACCAACAGGCAAATGTTAGTTCAGCATTAGCATGTTTAGAATCCTTCAGTTATAAATTCATCAATGAATCGAAAAACACAAGTCAATGAAAAGTACACCTTGACATGTTTTGATTAGATAACATAATTCATTGAGAATTTATTTGGACGCAAACGTCATTAACGTTACCAAGACTTTGTTTTCATAGCAAAGTGCTGAACTCACAACAGCCATATGACTCAGAAATGCTAAGAGAGGCAGCCAGTAAGCTAAGAACCCGCTAGTTATTCCAACCACCCTCGACCCAGTTCCCGACCGGTGCTTTGACGGATTTCAATGACTCTCAACTTCGCAAACTGAAGCCCTTTCGGAAAATCAATGATGATGTTGCAAAAACTAAGTTCTGAAATGATTCGACAACAATTTTCGGTTTTGTTTACTGTAAAAAGTCGATCGGAAAAACAAGAGGTGCTTATAGTAACAAGCAAAGATGCACAAGGGCTTGAAGATTGCATCGTAGGGTAAACAAGGACAGGATGTTAAATAATCCTTCACCAAAGATCAGTTCTCTGAAAGTTTCACAGATAAGCAAATAGAATACACAGACCAAAGCTTTAAACAACAGACAGTAATAACAGCTATTACATCTAACCATGTAAGAAAACAGAAATGGATTACTTGGATGAGTCAAGCCGTAAACCTAACAAGGCGCTTACTAAATACGGTCTATCTGCAAATTGCCATGGTGGGCGCTACCAATAAATTTATTAAACCCATTGCTTCTCAATAAACGTCTAACAAAAAAGGTAGACAGTCGTAACATTCAAGGTGAGACATAAATGCAACAAAAACCATAAACAAACATTTGACCAAAAGCCGTGAGGTCGTCGAACTTGAGTTGCGTAAGTGAAAACATTAGCAAGACGGTTAGAACGATTACGCTGAAGCTGGTACACGTGTAAAAGGCATAAAGCGGCCGCAAAACCCGAATCTAGGTAACGATAATGTGCCCGACCCAAACGGTCGTAGCCCACAAATAGGTTGGGAGTCGAAACTCACCGGCAACTGCAGTTTTGCAACTCTTTATTATACCTCGCGGATGTAGAATTTCATATTTATGGAAATCTATCGCAATAAATAACATTATGAAACAAGATTTATTTCTTTTGCCGTTTTCGGAACAATCCCAAATAAGGAAACTTTATAGTTTTTAAACACTGAAATGAAACAATAACAAAAGATGGTACACTATTAACCGTTACTGAATAAAGCATTGCAGGCTTTCAAATTAAATGATTAACAACGGCTTAACTCATTTGCATTGATTAATCTGGTTAGTAACGTAGCGTGAATAAATACACTGGAACCCTGACAAAAGCAACATTTATAAATCCAAAAAGCAATTACTCAATGGCGAGGAACAATCACGAAACATACGAAACTAATCAGTAGCGACTTAAATTGATAGTTTCTGTCATCTAACCCTGTAAGGTTCGTGCCTTTTCCAAACCCAAGTTGTGACAGAGGGAGACGTATGAGAACAAATGACGGATTTGGATCTGTGACAACGGTACAGGAAGAGGGAATACTTAAAATAGAACGCATATTAGTTTTCGAAGACGAAAAGTAAACCGCTAACGATTTGAACGATGCAATAATAGCATTCGGGGAAGCTGTAAATAACGTTAAAATAAGGATCTTTAAGGATTCAGTTGTATTTCTATGAAGATTTTGACAAATGGTCCACACGACTAGTTAATAGTTACACATTAATCATACTTTACTATAACGAAAAAAAATGTACTGCACAAAGTGTAAAATGTTAACATGAAACAAAGCGTTGGTTATGGTAACACACAATGTTTCATAACAGTTCTCGAGTAAGGTAACGAACAAATAATTTCATCAACAGACGTAACATCGAGTAACATGGAGAAGCGAAAAAATGCAAACATTAATCATTTCGAACAATAAAACAAGAGCATACTCTCTAGCCATTAGGCACATGAAAGCAAAGGCACTTACAGTGGTGAAAGTGTTATGGAATTTCGCGATGCACCCGGCCATTATTGTAATTGGAGTGAGACGGTGCGTCTAGACCGGCAACATCATCGGCATGGCGGAGTACTTCTTGATGGATGGGGAGCAACGATCGAGGACGTTCGCCGATCACAGCAGATGCTTAGAAATCAACTCGATCATAATTGGGTCTCTTGACGTCTCAGATTTCACGGTTAACTAGTTATAATGAATTTTCCAGCTGGTGTAGCAAATATTTCTCTTTTGGCAAATATTTTACTATTGTCTGACAATGAATTAATGTATCTTCTTGTGCTTTAGTTTTTATCTAAGCGTCATGTTAATAAATTGTTTTCTCCACAAAGACCACGTTATGGACAAGTAATGTGACTGCAATGTCACCTACATAGATAACTTTGATAAGGCCATGCCCATGCATTTAAATATCTTTGAGACAAGTGAAAGGTTACTTAGGATGACATATTTATACAATTATACATTCATCAAAAAACATCTAGTATGTTAGTACATTTTTTGTTATAAACAAAATGATTGGTTGTGCAAACGTTCTATTCAAACCAAACCAGTAATTTCGAAACGAATACTTTTACATCATAAAATGAGAAGGTATACTCAAAGTGTATTATCACGCTAATTAAACACGAGTAGTGCAATGTGCTGAGTGATAGGAAAGTGAAAGTTTTTGAGAACAGATGTAGAAAACTATATTTATTTCATGATAAAGATAAAGTTCAAGAGCAGGCCTTATCTCTTTAGTACCGTTAAGAGCAAATATCTGAGTTGATTCACAAAATAATAAAAGCTTATATTCTATTACATATACTGTTTCAATGTTTCACAAAAGAACGATGTATCGAATCAATTTTAATTAGATGAGATAAAGAACGAAAACAAAGGTCCATTCTATACCTATTTAGGTAAGTGTTCAGGATGGTACTGTACCATTATATTAAATGCAACGATAGCAATAGCGGTAAGTGCATTGTCTTATAACAATACTAACATTTCAGACTATATTGTATTGAAGTTTATACACTACTTCTACAAATTAAACTTAATAGATAGTGAAGTTTCATTTTATTTCTTTCCATTATAATGTGGAAATCGGAAACTTATTGTATAATTAATGACGTAAGAGTATTTCAATTAAACGTTGTTCTTAATTAATAGTTATAAGATTGTAATAAGGAAAAGTTGGGGCTATTTTATTGAATAATAGTTGGTTAGTGGAAATAATTTCTCCTTTCGGTATAAAAAGTAAGACATGGTGATTTGAGTTTCCTTTTCCGAGATTGTAATAAGCATGGTTGAAGACTGACTATGAAATAGATACAGCAAAATTAATGTTTGTATCTTAGTAATTTTATACACTACGGAAACGCTGTT